ATGCACCCAAGAGGCCAAGGAACTTCAACAGGTGGAGTTGATCCGCTCACAGTTAGAGGAGGACCTTAGAGAAGCTACCGAAAGAGAATCTGAGATTAAAAATAGAAATGACAAATTAAAGAACAGAAGGGCAGACAAGGTTTACAAGGGTTAGATGACTCAACCCTTGACGACATGAGTAAGATCCTCAAGGCGGGTATGCTGAGCATGTACGCTCATATGGACAACATGGTGGATGATATCTAGGATACCCTTGACCAGATACTGAGTGCCATGCAGGGGAAGGGAAGAGCAGTCCCTTCCACAATAGCCTAGTATCAGGCCAGCGACAACTTTTCTATCGCCGCCTCCATTGTCGGCAATGACAGGCCCATTGGTCCCTCGATTTGGCATCCCACCAAGAGGTACGTCAACAGCAGCAACACATTTTGTTGCTTCTTCATCTTAACGTCCAGCTGTTGCCGCTACGGGGCAGCAGCCGGTCCGACAGATGGGACCACAACGACCTCGGTAACCGAAGACTCCATTGAAACCAACTCCGACCTTCTTAGGAGGTAAGAAGGATGAGGCACTCGACACTTGGTTGAGGATGGTTCTAGTGTGGGTAAGGGCAAAGAGGACGTTGTGCGAGGAAGAGGTGATCATTGCCGCCTCATATCTTGAGGGATTGGCAGCGAGATGGCTAGATGGACTAGTGGCGCCCAAAGGGTTCGGCAAGCGGATGAATGACCGGGCTCAAATCCATACACTAGAGAGCTTCATGGAGTTAGTTGAAACGTGATGGCACAACCCACAGCAGGCCCTGCAGGCCATTGATGCGTTGTCCCTACTTGAAACTAATGTCGTGGAGAAACTCATTGTTGTCCCTGGCGTCCACTACGATCCACAAGTCTTGTTGACCATGTTCTTGAGATGTCTTCCCACAGACATGGTCAACGAGGCAAGCATCGAATATCACACTCTTGACTCCTTGAGAAAAAAAACCTTAGATTTAGAGGGTACTCTAGGAGGAGCCCAACAACCCGTGATGGACGGTAGGAAGAACAAGAATCCACAAGTATGGTTGATTCCTATGGAAATCAAATCGAGATCGACAATCTTCTTGACCTTGTGGCGAAACAGAGTTCGACAGTGAGGAGAGTGTTGAGGGTAGCATCCTCGCTGCAATAACAAAAGGAAAGGCTACTGGCCGCAGCAAGGGTGGTCAGCAAAAGAGTCGAGCGCATGTCCTGAACCCAAACAAGATTCCCTCTTGGGTGAGGACTGGCCTGGATCAGGATGTGTGGGATCGGTACTCACAAGGAGCTTGTGTCAACTGCGGCGAATATGGCCATTAGCAGTTTAGATGTAAGAATGCGAAGGTTTCTTAGAAGATTCCTCCCAAAGGTGGATTTGGGGGATCTTTTTCCCAGGGAGGGACTTCTACGAGTTCCACATCGGGAAATTAGTAGAATTTATAGCTGCCACTCATGCTGAAGTGGTTGATGTACCCTCAACACTTCAGGAGTTGGCTGAAGCTATTGACTCACTTGTCACCCCGCAGACACATCTAGACCAAACGACACTCTATTCGTTGGATGTGTCTGAAGCCTTTGAAGACTTAGAAACCGAGTGGTCGGCAAGGGACCCTGGTGAGTCTTGGGTGGCATTGTCTAGAGGTCCAAGAGGGGAGCACTTCGTCGTGGAAGTCAGTGTAGGCAGCCGCAAGTGTGGTGCCTTTGTAGACATTGGCTCCACGTGGAACTTCGTAAGTTGCGGCTGCGTTGAGAGACTGCGCCTAGGGGACCGGGTGCAGCGCAGCGCTTGGGTAGATCTGTAGCATCTACCTTGGCCAACAAAGAGCGCATGGTTGTCAATGACTACGTAAAGGACGTAATATGCAACTTCTACCATGTAGGTAGGGAACTTTATTATAAGATTTTGTCCCTAGTTAGCGACGAGTTGCCATTCGACATGTTGTTAGGTATGTACTACCTCGAGGTTGCAAACCCCAGTTTGACTAGAACTGAAAGGTGCTTAAGCATGTGTAATCGGAAGGGAGGATAGTCAAACTTGCAAGGAGTAAGGCGAGCACTTTGATAGACACTCAAGTTTGAATGTTAGATAGACTCGCAAAGTGGAATAAAACGCAGCCTGTTCTCTCCGATGCACTCAAACGATGGATGGAAGTCATAGGTCAATACGACTTCAAGCTAGATTACGTGAAGGGAGAGTACAACAAAAATGTTGATGCATTGTCACGTAGGGCAGACTACGTAGGTGCACTGATTATTGAGTTTGGCCTATCTGATGAAGTAACTCAATCGATGGTGGATGCCTACAAGGAAGATCCCCTCATGATCGTCATCATACGCAAACTAGATGCGAAAGACAAAGCGACATCTCATGAGTTTGTGATGGTGGATGGATTACTCTTCCTTGAAAGGGCAGGGTTTAAAAGATTGTGTGTGCCGTCTAGTGAGCTTTTGCATAGTTTATTTTTTGGCGAGTGTCATGACGCGACAGGGCACTTAGTCTACAAGAAGACTAGTGCAAATTTAGTTCAGCGTTTTTGGTGGCCTAGTATGCTAGACGATGCAAAAAAGTACGTTTAGACTTGTCAAGTCTGTCAGCGGGACAAGCCTCGAACTGGAGCGTCGTGCGGGTTACTCAAGCCCTTGCCCATTCCTGAGGGTTCGGGACAAAGTGTTTCCATGGATTTCATGTGCACTCTCGTGACCAGCAAGACTGGCAAGCAATATATCTTCGTTATAGTGGACAGGTTTGCTAAGTACACAAGACTAATTACCATGCTAGAGACGGCCAAGATCGAACATGTCATCAAGTTATTTATGGATAACTGGTGGGTGACTTTGGACTGCCTAAGACCATCGTTAGTGATAGAGATGTCTGGTTCACAAGTGACATGTGGAAGAAAACCGCTGAGCAGATGGGTAGTCAACTTTAAATGACTTTGGGGAGTCATCCCGAAGCCAACGGCCAAGCGGAACAGATGAACCATGTGGTGCAGCATCTGCTGACGCATTACATCAAGCCTAGCCAGGATGATTGGGATGAGAAACTTCCTCTCATCGACAGTGCGTACAATAATGTTGTACAGAGCCCCACCGGCGTCACTCCCAATCAGCTGCATTTGGGGTGGAAGCCTAGATCTGCACCAGACTTCCTTCTTCCTGAAAACCGACCGACTGCAACACCTGGAACCATAGAATTTGGTGTCCAGTATGAGAAATTGTTGCAGCAGGCTGTTGAGCACATCAGAAAATCTCAAGAAGCAATGGTTGCCTCTGAGAACAAGCACAGACGACAGTCCACATTTCAGGTAGGGGAGCATGTCTGGGTAAAGGCTAGTGAACTGGGACAGGAATTCGGTATCTCTAGAAAGCTAATGCCGCAGTACTTTGGTCCTTGGGAAGTCCTAGATATCGTGGGTAGTGATTTAGATGGTCCCTTCTACGTCATTAGAATCACTGGTCATCTGGGCACTTACCCTGTCTTTCACACTTCCAAGCTTGCACCTTTCGCTGAGACAGATCTGTTCCCATCAAGAAGGTCAATGCTGCCCCCAACCATGGATGGCCATTTGGACGTCGACGACATTTTGGAACATAGAGACTTGCCTGTTCCCAAGCCTGTGGGCAGGGGAAGACCGCCCAAACCTATGAGGGAGTACCGGGTCAGCTTCAGGCATCATACAGATCCAAAGGAAGATCGTTGGTTCACAAGAGAGGAGCTCGTTAAAACAGCACCTCAGATCACGGCTGAGTACGAACGAAGACTGAAGGAGAGAGCACCTGCGTAGAAGCATCTCAGCGGACTTTCGAAGCTAAGGGGGGATGGAATGCGAGGAATGAGCCCTCGCGGGGCCCTTATCAGGCATGCAAGTGTTCTGGGCTGCGGCCCTCAGCAACCTCGTGCCCGCCCTAAGTGAAGGTGGGCCTGAATATCCACGTGAGGCGTACTTTCGACATTTTTCATATGTGGGGTATCAGACAATTGCAGCACGCCAGTTGGTTACAGAGCAACATGAGCGTTCAGGCTCTTTCCAGAAGAAAGGGCGCCACTGTACAGTTGAGCCCAGGGCTCAGGTGATTGTGCCCTGGGTACATGCTGTGTGAGTCCGACACATCATGGACTGGCCACGGGCCAGTGAGAAAGCAGCATTGTCGTCACACATGCACCACGATCCAATGAGAATGCTGCGAACACTTGGAGGCTGGGTGGCTGCTTGAACATGCCTAACTGCACAAGGCCCATGCCAGTATCCGAAAGTGGGCCTGGGCACAGACACTTCGGGCCAGGCTGAAGCTGTTGGGCCCCCACACCCCTGGCCAGGCCAGCCAGCAGCGGACACAGAAAGTGTGTGCCCCCTGGGCACGGCATTCTGGCCTGCAAAGGCAATGCGGCCACGCTGCTGCGTTGTCGGATTAGCGCTGCTTAGCGCTGGCAGGCTGGGGCGCATACGGGCGCTGAGAGGTGAGAGGGCATTGCGGTGGCAGTGGGCGCCCGGCGGCCATAGCCGGGCAGCACGTACGGATGCAGATGACGGCAATGGTGGTCTTCGGGTAGGAGGCGCATGCAGAGGGAATCAAGGTGTGATGAGGGGAGAAGAGAGAACATACCTGGTGTATGCTGGTGGTCGGCATTGGTGCTGGGTGCCAGACACTAGGAGCAACATTGGATACAGTGTTGGTGTAACCAGAGAGCGTCGGCATTGGCACTCAAGTTCATTGTATTGCTCTTATTTGGATGGTATATTGGTGCATTTGTGCTCTCTGCTCGGTACATGACTATCTGGACTATTTCGTGATTTTGCAACTTGGTTTTCTGTCTATCATCGCTCTCGCTCATATTCCTTGCACTACTTTAACAAAAGATACGCTGGGAATACCACATAGAAGAATGAAAGGCGCAAACATGAAGGTTTTTTTTGTTGTTTGTGGTTTTTGCTGAGGAGGCAAAGTGGATGTGCGTTTGCTTTGTCGTTCGGTCTGTGACAGGTCTACCTTCTTGGCAACAATGTCCCACGAGATCCGAACACCAATGAATGGGGTGCTTGGAATGCTTAGCCTGCTCCTGGACACAGATTTGAACACGGTCCAAATGGAGTATGCGCAGACAGCTTTCACAAGTGGTGAAGTGCTTATCTCTATTATCAATGATATCCTTGACCTGTCAAAAATTGATTCAGGCTTCATGGATCTTGAATCAATCCCGTTCAACCTTCACACAGTTTTTGATGATGTCATCAGTATATTTGTGGAGAAGGCAAGAGAGAAACCGCTAGAGTTTGCGGGCTTGGTTCAGGATGCTGTACCAGCAGTCGTGGTGGGTGACTCAGGAAGGTTTAGGCAGGTAAGTTCATCACCCATATGCTTCTGAAATTCTGAATGGATGCTGAATTCAGTGAGATGTTCCTGCAAGGCTTCAGCATGTGTTTTTGTTATCCTTGATCTTCTGTTTTGCTCCATTTTTCTATTGGTGTAATGAACCCAGTCTCTTAGGGAAGCCAATCAATAACGAAATGCATGCCTGAACCCATCTCACAAAATCGAGTCTTCAAAGTCGATTACAAGTCCATATCTCGATTAATTGCACATGTCAGAAGCCTCGTGTCATCAAAGAGGAGCATGGACAAAGAGACAGAGAAGAGAGTAGACAGAGGAGAGATTAGACAGGAGTGAGAAGAAGAAGACTTCCACTCCCACTTCTGCTTCGGGCTTCTCCCCTATTCACCTCAGCAATGCATGCTCTCGTCTAACGTCCTCTGACATAATCAGTGCGCAGATCATAGCAGGGCGCACATCCTCCAGTCATAGATCACAACAATCTATGGAGGATGGCGCAGCTCTTCCTCACCTTCCTGGAGAGACCAGCAGCAGATCACACATGCTGACGCCCGGTAAGTACAGGTAAGCTTCCCCTTGAACTCTCATCAGTCTCCCAGCCCTGATTGTCCTCCTCCTTGCCCAACCTCATCACGTACATCTGCAGCTATGGTGGCTATGGCTGCACCAACATAGACTCCCTCTAAGCTGGTGCCCTCCAGCAGCATCGGGCGCCAGCATTTACACCAGCAGCCTCGCATAGCAGCACTTGGCCACGCAAGACAGAATATCCTCCCCAGTGGTCTGACTGCCAGTATATAGCGTTGATTCACGTTATTTACACCAGCAGCCTCGCATAGCAGCACTTGGCCACGAAAGACAGAATATCCTCCCCAGTGGTCTGACTGCCAGTATATACCGTTGACTCACGTTGACCAGTCCCTCCTTTGACTGCAACTATGGTCCACATTTTCCCAGTCTCGATGGCCTGGATGCATCCTTGAGGCACAAGTACCGTACCCCAGCTGATACCGTAATCTTCAGGAATCCTGCAGACAACCATTGATGTGCATCTGACTGATGGCTGTGGTGGACTACGAGCTGGGCCTGACTTGTGATTCTCCAAGAGTCAGCTGTTCCTCGTGGGGGTACTGGACGCTGCTTTTGACTTAGGTGCAATAACTCAACGTAAAATATGCATTAGTCTTGAGCCACACATCGACACTTGGGCCTAAGGGCCGTAACAGGGGCCAAAGGCCACGCCCAAGTCATAGAAAATTACCTGATATAAGGCCTGCTGCTGTGGGCACCCGAAGCACGGCCTAAACACGGGTCCCAGACGCCCTGCATGCAACAGTTGACCATGGAAAGTCAAAGGTCAACAGCAGCTCGGAAATTCAGGCTCGCGAGTCGAAGTCTACACGGTCGGGGCCCAGGCCGCAGACCAGACACACACATTTGGTTGTTTGCAGGTATCTGTCAAGGATTCCGTCCAAATGGGAATCTGCGACTGTACGGAATCCAGGCCGTCGACCATGGGTCAATCTGGGCTGCCGTACCGGCGAGGCTGGAGGACTGGACAAGCCAAGTCAACACTATATGTTGACCCAGCCTTGCTGATCGTCATTCAGTCTTGCACTTGCTGCTTGACACTGGCTGAGCGCTAGCTCTACGCTGGCACAACGCTGGCTCATCGCTGACTCTGCGCTGGCTTGACATTGGACGACGACGCGAGGCTGCTATGCGTTTACTTTATGCTGGTGCTCTCTATCTTTCCGCCAGCTGGATCAGAGATTATGCTGATGTGGCGCTGGCCACTCTGTCTGCTACCGAGACTATGCTGGCGTGGCATTGGCCAGGGGTGTGAGATTGGTTGATCGAAGGGGTGCTTACCTGTTGATGACGTGTCGACATTGCGCGCTGCTGTTTGTCTTCACGAAGTATCTGTGCTGACAAGCGCGACAATGAGATCTGCTCTTTGTCAGATTGCATCAGAGGAGACTGTCTGCTGATGTGGCAAGGGGGAGATGCCTGAAGAAGAAGAGGGAAACTGAGGGAGCTCTATCTGCTTCGCTGATGGTTACTTTCTTTTCCACCCTCTAGTCTCACCTCCCTCCCTCCATCTTCTTCGTTGGTGACCAGACATTGGGCTACTTGATGATGTTGAGGATTATTTGGAGGCATTGAGACCGCGCTGAGACATTCTGTATTTTGACATTGGCGAGCCTCTCTCCTGGCTGGGTTCATTGAAGTGTGGGCCAGCAACCAGCCAGTTGGACCGGCCCGGATGCAACTGGGCCGGATTGACCCAGGGCCTCCAACCGGAATTGCGGTTGGGCTCAAAACCCGTCCAGGGTTTGACTGCGCTCGCTGAGAGCAGTCAGAATCCCCAAAGAATATTTGGAACTCGAAACTT